AGTGTGTGTGAGTGCGTGCATGTGTATATAAGTGTGTGTGTGTGTGTGTGTGTGTGTGAGAGAGAGTATGTGCATGTGTATATAAGTGTGTGTGTGCATGTGTATATTAGTGTGTGTGTGTGTGTGTGTGTGCGCGCATGTGTATATAAGTGTGTGTGAGTGTGTGCATGTGTATATAAGTGTGTGTGTGTGCATGTGTATAAGTGTGTGTGTGTGTGCATGTGTATAAGTGTGTGCGTGTGAAAGTGTGACGTGACATGTGGCCAAATATGGTGACCCATACTAGGAATTAGTGCTCTGCATTTATCCCATCCAAAGTGCACACACACAGCAGTGAACACACACCCGGAGCAGTGGGCAGCCATTTATGCTGCGGCGCCCGGGGAGCAGTTGGGGGTTCGGTGCCTTGCTCAAGGGCACCTCAGTCGTGGTATTGAAGGTGGAAGAGAGCGCTGTACATTCACTCCCCCACCTACAATCCCTGCAACCTTTGGGTTACGAGTCCGACCCTCTAACCATTTAGGCCACGACGTCCCCACTGTGCATGTGTATATAAGTGTGTGTGTTTGTATGAGGAGCCGTACAAGCCATAATTCGTTCTGGCACTCTCACACACTTACATTCCCCTTACACATGCATACATTTCTACTCTCACACACGCATACATTCTCCTTTCACATGCATACATATAACCTTACACACATACATTCTCCTTTCACAAACATATATATAGAATGTATGTATGTCTGAAGAAAATATGTGTATGTAAGAGAAGAATGCATGTATGTGTGTGAGAGAGAGTATAGTGGAAACGGAAGGCAAGTCAGGCGCGATCAGGGTCACCGGGACAGGTTCTGATCAGCATGGCTGAGGTAGATGAGGCGGCCGCACAAGTGTTTCAGCAAGCTATGTGGGTTTAAAAAATAAAAAAATATTATCATCGTGAAAAGGTTACATGGCCTCGTCCCTTGAGGGAGTTGTGATGAGACTCAGCCTCAGTTGTGTTGCCAGATACACTTATTATAACCGTCTATGGATTTTTTTTTCTACTTAATTTAGGAAGTGAATAAAGTGGGAGGTTGCAAGTTAGGGACAGCGATATCTTTATATTATTTTCATAACTCAAGATTTGGACTCATTGCGGTTTATTTATTTTTAGATTTTGTTTGTTTTTCAATACCTGGCAACGCCGGCATGTTATTCCTGACAGCATGCAATTTGGTAACACAAACGTAATGACCATCATGATATATTATCTGTAAGACAGATGCACTGAAGACGGACACAAAGAGGAGAGAATAGTCGCGCAAGCAGAGAAAATACTGTACCAGACAGAACAAATTCATTGTTTGCGATGCTCAAAATACTGAAAGAAAACCATAATTATGGAATTAGGGTGGGGGTAAATATGGATGTATTTCTGAGGAGAACTGACTGTCCTCAGAAAAGTTTCGATGGCATTTTCTTTTTCCTTTTACTTTCGTTAAATACATATTAAAGGAGTGTTAATAAGCGCAGCGCTGCGTACAGCAATAACCAAGGAAACACTGCTAGTGTTCTATAAGCGCCACCTGCTGTCAGAGAATGACTTTGCAGTTTCATCAGAATCAGAAAGAGCTTTATTGCCGTGTGTTACACACACAAGAATTCGTCTTGGTGTCAGGAGCTTCCAGTACAGTCTACAGTCATAGTGCAGACATACATATAATTAAGGTAATAAAACACTAATAATAATAAAGAGTAATAATAAAATATTCATTCAGCCCGTCTGATGTTTTTGTTTTGTGCAGTTGCTTCATGTTGCATATATTTTTGTTTGTTTGTTCAAGGTTAGTTTGGCCAGTAACAGAGCAAAATAAACATTTAAAAAATGTAAAAAAAATAAAAATAAAAGTAATAAAAACTAAATAAATTGGCAACAAGTATGGGAATCGGCTCATTTGGAAAAAATCGGCAATTGGAATTGGTCATGAAAAATCCTGATCAGTGCAGCTGGAATAGAGTTAGACCTACCTGAAAGACCTGAAAAAGCATGGTTCATTTCAGTTTTATCTTTGAACTATTGTACCTATTTGTGCAAAATGGATATAATTTATTACAATACAATGTTACAGTCAACAATGAAAACAATAAGTCTTATTTATTGATTTACTGATTGATTGATTGATTGTGGCAAGGCCTGTGAAAATTTTGCCAGGGCAAGTAAAAAATTTAAACCACTGGACAAACTGGGCCAGTAGAACATTTCCTTAGCGTTGAGGCCCGTCAATACGATCAAAATCAGTATCATAACACTTGTACACAGATCTGTAGAACACGTAGGTTACATAATGATATTTTAAAATTAAAAACTTAAAATATGTACTTGAAAAGAAAACAGGATGACTTTGAATAGCATCATTGTAAAATTGTGAGGTTTATATTATTTTCATAACTCAAGATTTGGACTCATTGCGGTTTATTTATTTTTAGATTTTGTTTGTTTTTCAATACCTGGCAACGCCGGCATGTTATTCCTGACAGCATGCAATTTGGTAACACAAACGTAATGACCATCATGATATATTATCTGTAAGACAGATGCACTGAAGACGGACACAAAGAGGAGAGAATAGTCGCGCAAGCAGAGAAAATACTGTAACGTTACCAGACAGCATAGGCGCAGGACGTGGGTGTGCTGGGTGCTGCAGCAGAACTTTAACTGTTTAACTGTTGGGATTAAAAAAAAATCGGAGTGTCTATTTACACTAAGTGCAAATAGCCCGCCTTGTTGGCAGAGGCTTACACTAATTCCACCCACCAACGTGTGATTGGGCTAGTCATCATTACAAAAGATGGTTATCAATCATTAGATTCAGTGGCACAAATAGTAAAATTTGTGTCATACTCCTTTTGACGCGATCGACCCAGAGCGCTGTACATTCACTCCCCCACCTACAATCCCTGCAACCTTTGGGTTACGAGTCCGACCCTCTAACCATTTAGGCCACGACGTCCCCACTGTGCATGTGTATATAAGTGTGTGTGTTTGTATGAGGAGCCGTACAAGCCATAATTCGTTCTGGCACTCTCACACACTTACATTCCCCTTACACATGCATACATTTCTACTCTCACACACGCATACATTCTCCTTTCACATGCATACATATAACCTTACACACATACATTCTCCTTTCACAAACATATATATAGAATGTATGTATGTCTGAAGAAAATATGTGTATGTAAGAGAAGAATGCATGTATGTGTGTGAGAGAGAGTATAGTGGAAACGGAAGGCAAGTCAGGCGCGATCAGGGTCACCGGGACAGGTTCTGATCAGCATGGCTGAGGTAGATGAGGCGGCCGCACAAGTGTTTCAGCAAGCTATGTGGGTTTAAAAAATAAAAAAATATTATCATCGTGAAAAGGTTACATGGCCTCGTCCCTTGAGGGAGTTGTGATGAGACTCAGCCTCAGTTGTGTTGCCAGATACACTTATTATAACCGTCTATGGATTTTTTTTTCTACTTAATTTAGGAAGTGAATAAAGTGGGAGGTTGCAAGTTAGGGACAGCGATATCTTTATATTATTTTCATAACTCAAGATTTGGACTCATTGCGGTTTATTTATTTTTAGATTTTGTTTGTTTTTCAATACCTGGCAACGCCGGCATGTTATTCCTGACAGCATGCAATTTGGTAACACAAACGTAATGATCATCATGATATATTATCTGTAAGACAGATGCACTGAAGACGGACACAAAGAGGAGAGAATAGTCGCGCAAGCAGAGAAAATACTGTACCAGACAGAACAAATTCATTGTTTGCGATGCTCAAAATACTGAAAGAAAACCATAATTATGGAATTAGGGTGGGGGTAAATATGGATGTATTTCTGAGGAGAACTGACTGTCCTCAGAAAAGTTTCGATGGCATTTTCTTTTTCCTTTTACTTTCGTTAAATACATATTAAAGGAGTGTTAATAAGCGCAGCGCTGCGTACAGCAATAACCAAGGAAACACTGCTAGTGTTCTATAAGCGCCACCTGCTGTCAGAGAATGACTTTGCAGTTTCATCAGAATCAGAAAGAGCTTTATTGCCGTGTGTTACACACACAAGAATTCGTCTTGGTGTCAGGAGCTTCCAGTACAGCAGTGCAGACATACATATAATTAAGCTAATAAAACACTAATAATAATAAAGAGTAATAATAAAATATTCATTCAGCCCGTCTGATGTTTTTGTTTTGTGCAGTTGCTTCATGTTGCATATATTTTTGTTTGTTTGTTCAAGGTTAGTTTGGCCAGTAACAGAGCAAAATAAACATTTAAAAAATGTAAAAAAAATAAAAATAAAAGTAATAAAAACTAAATAAATTGGCAACAAGTATGGGAATCGGCTCATTTGGAAAAAATCGGCAATTGGAATTGGTCATGAAAAATCCTGATCAGTGCAGCTGGAATAGAGTTAGACCTACCTGAAAGACCTGAAAAAGCATGGTTCATTTCAGTTTTATCTTTGAACTATTGTACCTATTTGTGCAAAATGGTTATCATTTATTACAATACAATGTTACAGTCAACAATGAAAACAATAAGTCTTATTTATTGATTTATTGATTGATTGATTGTGGCAAGGCCTGTGAAAATTTTGCCAGGGCAAGTAAAAAATTTAAACCACTGGACAAACTGGGCCAGTAGAACATTTCCTTAGCGTTGAGGCCCGTCAATACGATCAAAATCAGTATCATAACACTTGTACACAGATCTGTAGAACACGTAGGTTACATAATGATATTTTAAAATTAAAAACTTAAAATATGTACTTGAAAAGAAAACAGGATGAATTTGAATAGCATCATTGTAAATTTGTGAGGAAGAGCTGAGCAAGTCTTGCACATGTATTTCCTGGTCTGAGAGTGACTTCCTGCTTAAACAGGAAGTAATGGATACCAAAAAAAGGTAGAAATGTATGTATGTGAACGGAGAATGTATGTGTGTGAAAGCAGAAATGTGAGTATGTGTAAGGAGTATGTATGTGTGTGTGAGAGAGAGAGTGCGTGCATGTGTATATAACTGTGTGTGTGTGTGTGTGTGGGCATGCATATATAACTGTGTGTGCATGGGAGTGTGAGTGTGTGTGAGTGAGTGAGTGAGTGAGTGAGTGAGTGAGTGAGTGAGTGAGTGAGTATATAAGTGTGTGTGTGTGCATGTGTATATAAGTGTGTGTGTATGTGTATATAAGTGTGTGTGTGTGTGCGTGTGCATGTGTATATAAGTGTGTGTGTGTGCATGTGTATATAAGTGTGTGCGTGTGTGTATATGTATGTGTGTGTGTGCATGTGTATATGCTTGTGTGTATATGTATGTGTCTGTGTGTGTGTATATATGTATGTATATGTATGTGTGTGTGTGTGTGTGTATGTATGTGT